GCATCAGGCATGGTAAACTCCTCGACCAGCTCTGGAGATTCCAAGATGTGCTCCAGCAGCATTGGATAAAAGTCATGACCGTCGATGTCCTTCAAATCCCGGCCGACCCAGGACTGAGGGGGCCCGGGCTGATTTGAGTCCAGCAACAAGGGCAGGACAGCATAAACTCGCTTCTCGAGCCTGAATTAAAAAGTAGCTCCTTGGTGAGAACTTCGTCCATTCTGGCTCGCATGGCTCGCAGACCGGTCCCAAGGTCATCCACGTTCATACGAATGCCATTTGCTGTCAGAGTCCGAAACTCCTGTCCAGGGGCTGGCCGCGTTTCAAACACCACGTCAACACCTGGTTTGCCTTCCTCCGAGGTACATTTACGAACATATGTCAATCTACTACCAAGATAGTAGCCAATGTGGCCCTCCGTCTTGACGGCAGCATCTTCCGTCAGCGCGCCAGGGCTGCTTGGATCAAGCTGGCGACGGACGAGCAGGAACAAGCGGCAGATCCACAACAGAGCTGCCAGCGTTGGCGTCCAGTTGTTTGGCTGCTTGAAGGTGTCGTTGGCTTGCAGCGCCGTACAAAGGATATAGACGGTGGGACAGTACTCCAGGTCCAAGCTGTTCATGTCCGTGCTTTCATCAAGTACGGCACACCACACATTGGTCAGCGCCTCGGACATCATGACATGGTTATTTTGACCTTGGGCCACTTCCACGTCGTCCAAAGCTTTTGCCAGCTCGTCACTGATTCGACCCGGAACCTCGTCGCCCCGGCGCCGTACTTGTAGGAGGTACTGCACGTAGCGCGTAGCCACAATCATGTAGCGATCGTAGGTGTGCTGCATGACTTTTTGATAATATCGGGCCGTAAACACGTCTCCCGACTTGGTGTACAGTTTCCCAAGGACCTCATGAGCCGTCGTGTAGCACAACATGTTTTCGTACGTATTGTCCAAAAGACCGTGCATAGGGTCGGGTTGACCTCGCTGCAACCCAGCTCTCTGACTTGGCTCAGTGACAACCCCAGGATCTGATAAACCGGATGGAGTCGTATCGAGTTGACGACAAAGTCCTTTTTTTTCTGAGCCTCGAGCAAGGATAAGAAGGATTGCGCGTTTACACGACGTCTCTTGGATCGCTTCGAATACTGGACCTCCACATAGCTCGAGCCCAGTCCTCCTTTCCTGAGCCGCTGCATCCAGACTCTTCGTGGCGCCTCCGTGATGGCTGGATCGCCCTTATGGCATTGATTTTGATGTCGCACCAGGCTTTCTCGTGTTGAGAAGCAAGAGGTACAGCAAGGACACCCATAGCCCCGTTGTACTGGGATGCATGGGTACGCAGGTCGGCAGCCGTTCATGTCGAGAACAGGCTCCTTTCGAGGCGTCGCCTCCTTGATGAGATCCATTGCAAGCGGGATGTCTGCATCTTGTACGTTGACGCAGTGGCGCTTCAGGTGCTAGGCTGGATGTTCGTTCAATGCGTGCCCGCACTTGCCGCAAATTAGTATCCACTCGTACTCATCCAGTACTAGACCCAATGATTCCACGTACATCTGAGCGTGCGATGTACTGGCATGTTTGCGTAGGGACACTTGACGATGAGGCGTTCGGCTTTGAGGCACTCCAATGCCCGGGTCCGGGGTGTTGTTGGTGGCCACAGCAGGGCCGTGAACGAGCAAGTCGTCCAGCTCGGCTGAGGTGTCCTCTGTCACAGCCTCGTGTTTGTTTTTAAGATGCCGCCTGATGCTTTCAACCGCAGGGTAGTTTTTTTGGCAGCCGGAAACTGGACACCAAAATTTGTTATCGAGTGCCCTTTTCAAAATGAAGGTCCTTTCGCCGATGGTGATCCGCGCCTCCTGCTGATGAGACTGCAAGTTGGTGTCAAACCGAAGTGAGGACGTGATAGATCGCATGAAAGGAAACGCCAACCACGTGAGACCCACCATGCGCTGATGATTCTCCTTCTCCTTTTGAGTTTTGAACGTGAGCGAACATTTTTGGCATACAATCGCCGGCTGCTCTCCGTCTCGAGCGTCAGATGAAGCATCCATGGTGTGCCACGCGATGATGATTGTTCAAGTCGGTTGATGCACCAGGCCTGCAACGGGTAAGCCTGGCCAGCCGGACGTTTGCACCCAAAAACGAGGAGGTGAGTGTGGTGGCCCTGCAGAAGCATTTGCAAGGGCGTAGAGGCGTTATTGTTGGCGGACATTACTTTGTTTGTGTTTAGTAGACGGTGGTGATGCCTTGCGTGGATCTTCGCTGCGGACTTTCGCCAGTGGGAACGCGCGACAGGCCGGTGGTATGTACGATCGCCCACAGATGGTGTGCAGTCGCGTGTGTTGATGATTGCTTCACGATGACACGCACCAGGCAGAATCAAACGCTTTGATGGCCTTTTGCCGAAATGGCCGAGCAGTTTCGAGCAGAAGTGGCCGAGCACTGTCGAAGAAGAACATACAAGCTGAGCTGCAAAGACACCAAGGACCTTGACAAACGGGCACGCATTTTACTGCATTCGATTGCCACAATACGCGACCTGAATCGGTACCGATCACTCGCATAACATGACCACCGCCCAACGCCCGCCACACCAGCTCGCGCAGCGCCACAACCGCCATTATCGAGACACATTGTCATTATTCCATTTCATTGTGAATGAAGATGAGGTGCTTTCCGTTTTTTTTTTTTTTTTTTTTTTTTTCGGTTGTTGTTGAGCTGTTCTGCTTCAGGCGTTTGCCCAAGCCCTCCCTGTCCGTTTGACTGCTTTTCGAATATAGTTTGTCTGTGGTCAACTCCAAAGCAAACAAAGGAAATACAAACGGAAAAGTACAAAGTAAAACAAATGCCACTTCCGGTCGACAGGACCGTACTTTAATCTCGGTGGCAGGAACAATCAAAATGTTCTACAAGCATCCTTGATGGTGCCGTCAAGCATGATCAAATTTCATCTTGCAATGGATTATCACGATTGCCAGGACTGGCATCTTTCTGCACAAGCGTTCATGCTTGTAGTCCAATGATAGCGCTCGACAACCCAATTACAAGCGTCAGCCACTTCAATTCGTAGGTGCAGCTTGGGCGGCGGCCGTTAGAGCGGCCACGCGGTCACCAAGGGTTTGTAGATCTTGGATATTGAACGATCGAGGATCCTCGCGCCAGCCGACGCTACAGAGAACAGCAGCAGCGCACCGCCAGCGTTTGACCTGCTCCGCATGAATCAAGCTTTGGACTGGCGGCACGTTGAAATCCGATGAGGACAGCACAATGCGAATAATCACATGGAAATCAGGTTCGCACCATCGGGATTTGAAGTTTGGTAGGAGCAAGGGGCACGGGTTGCGCGCAATAGCTCTGCAACCAGCTGTAACGTGATGCAGATTCCTCGGTAAGCAAGTTGGCCTCTGCAATCGATACCGAAAATTAAATAAAAGGCTCACCTCCAGGTTGATGAAACCCCTGCGAAAGAGCAGATCCAAGGGCCGTGCACCGCTCTACCACAGCAGGTCATCAGGTATTAATCGCAGGTGCAGCAAAACAGCGGGGAAGTATGGCATTGCGGTGAAAAGCTTACAAAATATCTCACATCCGGATCGCCATCGTGCCACAAGAGTTGCTGGACAACCTTTCGGCTGACAGAGAAGGAAGCGCAAGCTAGATGAAGTGGCGTTTGGCCGCGCTAATTATAATCAATATTCACAAACATGAGGCATGTTTTCGCTTTTTATTTTGGGCGTGGGTGGGTGAGAGTGAGCGTCGAGTGTGCTGGGGTAAGGCTTGAAGAAACGCCCACTGAAAGCCGCTTGAGCGCGCGAGGGAGGCAGAGGCGCGATGGCGGGAGGCAGAGGCGCGATGGCAAAGGATGGGGTATTTCTTGGCTTCAAGTCACAATATCAAGAAAAGGATGCGGGCGGAAGATACAGCGCAACGAAGCGGGGGGCAGGGAGCAGCGACAACGGGCGGACGGAAAACGGGTGAAAAGCAGGGATAGCGGGAAAGAAGAAAAGGGACAAGAGGCAGAACGGACGCGCACGTTGGGCAGCGTGTAAAGGAGCGCGGGGCGAAGCAAAGGCGACGAGCAGCAGCAGCAGCAGCAGCAGCACCAGCCAGAGGGGAGGGAGGAAGAGGGATGTACTGTACTGACATCGTTTATAGCATTGGCATCAGCACCGTGCTTCAACAGCATCTCCGCCACCTTGTCAAGACCGCGATCGCAGGCATAGTGCAGTGCTGTAAAGCCAACCTGTGGGATGATGCATTAGCATGACGTACAGGCACAGAATGATCATAATGCGGTACAGGTGTACCATCATAGGGGGTCAAGGGAATCATAGGGGGTCAAGGGAGAAGAGGGAGGGGTACTGTACTAACGTTGGTCTTGGCACTAGCATCAGCACCGTGCTTCAACATCATCTCCACCACCTTGTCATGACCGTGATCGCTGGCATAGTGCAGTGGTGTTTTGTCATCCTGTGGGGTGATGCATTAGCATGACGTACAGGCACAGAATGATCATAATGTGGTACAGGTGTACCATCATTGGGGGTAAAGGGGGAAGAGGGATGTACTGTACTGTACTGTACTGACGTTGTTCTTGGCATTAGCATCAGCACCGTGCTTCAACATCATCTCCACCACCTTGTCATGACCGTGATCGCTGGCATAGTGCAGTGGTGTTTTGTCATCCTGTGGGGTGATGCATTAGCATGACGTACAGGCACAGAATGATCATAATGTGGTACAGGTGTACCATCATTGGGGGTAAAGGGGGAAGAGGGATGTACTGTACTGTACTGTACTGACGTTGTTCTTGGCATTAGCATCAGCACCGTGCTTCAACATCATCTCCACCACCTTATAAAGACCATGATCGAAGGCATAGTGCAGTGGTGTTTTGCCATCCTGTGGGGTGATGCATTAGCATGACGTACAAGCATAGAATGATCATAATGCGGTACAGGTGTACCATCATTGGGGGTACGGGGGGAAGAGGGAGGTACTGTACTGACGCTACTTGTCTTGGCTTTAGCATCAGCACCGTGCTTCAACAGCATCTCCTTGTCATGACTGTTTCCGCAGGCATAGTGCAGTGGTGTTGTGTCATCCTGTGGGGTGATGCATTAGCATGCCGCACAGGTACAGAGTCAGAATCGTCATCATGTGGTACAGATGTACCATCATAAGGGGGCAAAGGGGAGAAGAGGGAGGGGTACTGTACTAACGTTGGTCTTGGCATTAGCATCAGCACCGTGCTTCAACATCATCTCCACCACCTTGTCATGACCGTGATCGCAGGCATAGTGAAGTGGTCTTTTGCCATGCTGTGGGATGATGCATCAGCATGGCGTACAGGTACAGCATCATCATCATCATCATGGGGTACGGGTGCACCATCATAGAGGGGTAAAGGGGGGAGGGAGATACTGTACTGACGTTGTCCTTGGCTTTAGCATCAGCACCGTGCTTTAACAGCATCTCCACCACCTTGACATGACCGTTACGGCTGGCATAGTGCAGTGGTGTTTTGCCATCCTGTGGGCTGAAGGGTACATACAGTGCTGTAAAGCCAACCTGTGGAATGATACATTAGCATGACGTACAGGTACAGCATCATCATCAGCATCATCATGTGGTACAGATGCACCATCATGGGGGGTACGGGGGGAAGAGGGATGTACTGTACTGACGCTATTTGTCTTGGCATTAGCATCAGCTCCGTGTTTCAACAGCAAATCCACCACCTTGTCATGACCGTTTTCGCAGGCCCAGTGCAGTGGTGTTTGGTCCTCCTGTGGGTTGGTGCATTAGCATGCCGCACAGAATCACAATCGTCATCATGTGGTACTGGTGTAGTACCATAGGGGGGTAAAGGGGGGGATGAGGGAGGTACTGTACTGACGTTGTTGTCGGCATTAGCCTCAGCACCGTGCTTCAACAGCAAATCCACCACCTTGTCATGACCGTTTTCACAGGCCCAGTGCAGTGGTGTTTGGCCATGCTGTGGGATGATGCATCAGTAGGACGCACAGGTACAGAATCAGAAACTTCACCAAGTGGTACAGGTGCACCATCATAGGGGGGCAAAGGGGAGATGAGAAAGGTACTATACTGACCCTTGGCTTGGCATTGGCATCAGCACCGTGCTTCAACAGCATCTCCACCACCTTGAGATGACCGTGATCGCAGGCATAGTGCAGTGGTGTTTCGTCTTTCTGTGGATGATGCATCAGCATGACGTAAAGCATCATCGTCATCAGCATCATCATGTGGTACAGGTGTATCATAGTGGGGGAGGGGGGGGGGTACAGGGGTAAGAGGGATGTACTGTACTGACGTTGTCCCTGGCATCAGCATCAGCACCGTGCTTCAACAGCATCTCCACCACCTTGTCATGACCGTGATCGCAGGCATAGTGCAGCGCTGTAACGCCAACCTGTGGGATGATGCAAACATGCAGAATTCACATGTCAATATGATATTATACAATAATGTGAATTTCACACCACACTTGGGAACGTCAGTAGTGTCACGAAAACACACATTGACATTACCGAACAGCATACGTACTTCGTTTTGGTCTTGGGCAGCAGCTCGAACACGATGTTGGTCCCAACTGTTCAACAGCTGCTCCGCCCTTTCTAGATTTTTTACTTTATACGCATCAAACAGCAGCTCTCCAGCAGCGCTCATGGTCACGGTATCTCCATCCGCTTCAAATCCGCTGTCTCTATCCACCACCAATCTCATGAGCCCCCTCCAAGTCCAACTCACTACCCAAAATTCGGACTCGCATTCGACGGGGGCGCGTCGTTTCCAAATGGCAGCCGGTCAGCGGGTCTTTGCACTTTCCTGCCTGGTGCACCAAGCGACTCACCTCTGTCCAATAGTTCTGGGTCACGTTCGCGAGCGCAGGTGTACTTGCTTGCCCAAGCGCACACTAACGACTGTTAGGCGAGATCAGTGACCGCACTTAAAAAAAAAAAAAGTGGGTGCGATGCTCTCAACCAAAACGCTCGGCGTCGCCACAAGGCCCCCGACCAGGAGAATCCCGTACCGAGCACAAGCAATCAGTCACCACACACCAATCAAGACACGCCAAGCAGTCCGCCGATGCCAAAGAGGGGAAGACGAAGAAGGAGAAGGAGAAGGAGAAGAAGATCAAAAGCAAATGGCGACCAGAGAGGAAGAAGAAATGCAAACAACACACACACACACACTCTCTCTCTCTCTCTCTTGTTTCTCTCTCTCCTCTCTCTCTCTCTCTCTCTCTCTCTCTCTCTCTCTCTCTCTCTCTCTCTCTCTCTCTCTCTCTGTGTCCTCGGTCTCTCTCCGTCTCTGGTTGTTGGTGTTTGTTCCTTTTGTGTTACATGTGGTAGTTGTGCTCTTCCTTTGTGTCTTTGCTCTTGATCAAACCGACCAAACCAATTCACTCTGTCTCTCGCTCTCTCTCTTCCTGCTCTCTCTCTGCCTATCCAATACTCAAGCAAGGCTCAGAATAAAGATAACATGGCATCAATTTTGCATTCTCGGGACGTTGGACGACCAGTTGCTTTACAGGAACACCAATGGCCGGGCAACTGACCAAGTATTCCCGGACAAGCGACGCACTCGTCGAGGCGGGTCACGACTACCAAGAAGACAACGCAAGCCAAAAAAGGGAAAGGAGAGACCAAACAAAAACATCAACAGCGGGTAAAAGGGCACGGCCTTGTGATGACAAGGAGACAAAACGAAAGCAGACAAGGTAGGAAACAAAAGAGCAAAAGTGCCCTACCCTGGTGGATGGGCACAACGCACGAAGCCACGCAATACAAGACAAGTTTGAGGACATGCACTGAGAGGAGGGGGAGAGAAGCGCGCCTCAGGCCATTACGCGGTCCAGACACGCAGCGTCGTATCCCACGAGCCAGTGCAGAGGGCCATGCCGTCATCGCTGACACCGACACAGCTGACGCGGTTCTCATGTGCAGCCAACACGCCGATGTGCTCGCCCTTGAGTGTGTCAAAGACGTTGCAGTTAAAGTCCTCGCATCCTGCAAAGAGAAGGCGACCGCTCTTGCCAAAGCCCACGGAGAAGACCTGAAAATACATGAGGCGCGCAGAGGTGAGAAGATTGGAAAGCCAACAGGTACCATGACGAAGAGCTTTGATGTATCGTGTTTGGCTGACCTTGGCGCCTTCTTCGGCCGGGCGGTAGGTCATGAGCTCTTGGTCGGCACGAATATCAAAGAGGCGGCAGGTGCCATCATCCGAGCCGGTACCAAAGGCCATTCCGTTGGGAAACATGGAGACGGTGTTGATATCGTGATCGTGCCCTTCGAAAGTTTGTTTGCACTTGCCATCACGGAGATCCCACAGCTTGGCGGTGGCATCGCAAGCCCCAGACACGAACGTCTGGCCGTCGGGCGTCAAGCTGATGCCCGTCACCGTGCCGGCATGACCTAACGTTTTGACACGAGGGTATGATCACAGGCAAACGCGTCAGTGCGGCGCCTGGTCGTTGGAAGACACACAAAAGCGGTTTTTTTTTGTTTTTTTTTTGGTATAAATAGCAAGATTGGCACGCCTCACCTTTGAAGACAGTAATCGGCTGGCCGCGCTCAATGTCCCAGAGGGCACAGGTGTGGTCGCCGGAAGAGGTCAGAATTTGACGATCGTTGATGAAGCGGCAGCACGACAAGAAGCCTAGCCAAGTGAATCCGATGAGAAGGCGATAAAAAGCGAGAAGAAAACAAACCAAAGGAGGTGGAAAAAAAAAAACGCCGGTTTGCAGGCGAGGTCAAAGACATGCATCTGTGGCACGAACCGGTGTGGAAGGAGAGCTCGCGCTTGACGGCACCATTGTTCTCGTCTTGCTGAGCAAGCTCGAAGATGGAGCAGACGTTGTCGAGGCCACCAGCTGCCACATAGTTGCCCGAGGGCGAGTAGGCGCAGGTCATGACCCAGGACGAGCGGAGCGGGATGGCGTAAAGCTGGCGGGGACGAGCGGATAGGAGGGTAAGAGGTGAGCGAGCAAGAAAGAACCACGCGGTGATCGGATGAACCAAAAAAACCAAAAGGGCTGCTGTGGAGCGCACCTTGGCCGAGGAATAGGCATCCCAGACGATGAGCTTGCCATCTTGAGAGGCCGAGACGAGGTGCTGGGAGTCGGCCGCCCAGTGCATGGAGAAGATCTTGCCATAGTGACCGGTCAAAACGCGGCGAGATCGGAGGCGATAGTTGTGCAGGGACTCGATGCTGGAAGTGGTCTGTGGCACGGGTAAGAGCGACATCAAATCAGGAAGGAACAAGACAGAACTGGTGATGCCTTGTACCCCCCGGGCAGAGACGGTGCAGGTGTTACCGACCTGAAGCAAGGAGGTATCACGCTTGGCGGCGCGGTTGCTGTTGATGACGTCCAGCAGTTGCTGGTTCTCACGCTGCAACGACTCCATGTCGGTCGGTGGATGAGGGAGGAGGTGTTTCCTGAGTCAGGGAACAAACGCGTCGTGTCCAACCTGCGTCAAAACAAACAAGCCAGCCCAAACGCAAATGCAAACGCCAACGCAAAAGCCACGCACGAGCAGCAAGAATCAGGTGAGAAGCGGCTACGCGACGCGAGGCGAGGCAAGGCAGGGGCGCACAATCGAATCCAAAGCCCTTCCTCCCCACCCCCCTGCCCTTCCGGTCCAATGCATGTTCAGTACCAACGGAAAAAGGAAAAAAAAAAAAAGAAAAAAAAACAACGAGGCACAGTGCACCGGTGGAGAGGGGCGATGACGGCACTACGGATATCCAATCCAAGCGCGCGGCAATGATCCCCCGAACCGGGCAGTGGAAACACCAGAAGCATTCAGTGGCTGCCGTTTGCGCTCCAACTCACACTTGACGCGCGCGTTCGCTCTCTCTCTCACTCTCTCTCTCTCTCTTTTTGTCGTTCTTCTCTGAACTTGATTGTTGAAAACAGGTGTTGTTTATAAATATGTTGGGATGCCAACCGCCGGTTTCCGCCCCCATGATACTTGGTAGCACCAGTATTGACCCCTTGGAAATAACACTCGGTTGATATAAAATATAAAAATTTGAGGGCGCTCGCTGCTGGATCACCAACGGGTGCCATAGGTACGGCCGGACAGCGCGCGGGGGTGAGGCGAGATGGAACGCAGATGCTGAGTGCTGCCGCCAGCGCCAAACACATCGAGGCCAGGAAGGGGGAGGGGTTCAGCGAGATCGGGTTCTTCGAAGAGCGCAAGGTCGTCGGCGCTGTGCCAGGCTGAGACGAGGGCCGCCGTGCTTCGGCGATCAATGTTGGAAGACAGGCTGCTTTTGCGAGGGTCGCGGGCCAGATGTTCGCTGCTGCCGCCAAAACGTGAGCGGGAGCTTTTGCGCCGATTGGAGGCGCGCCGACTGGGCTGTGGTGAGGTGGGTGCCGACTGCGAGGCTCGCCGGGGGCGCGTGGGTGAAAGGGCTTGGCGGCGCTTGACTTGCTGAGAGGCTTCAAGGGCTAGCGCGGCCAGCTGTGCCTGTAACGCGTTTTTATCGACGCCGCCCAAGGGGCTGGTGGCCCGCCAAGGCAGTGCGGAAGCTGTGGTGGAAGAGGAGGATACTGGAGGCGGCAGCGGGTCATCCTCGTGCCCTGGGACAATGGTATTCAGCTCGGTGCGTGAGTGCGTCGAGCTGGAGCGGGCAGAGCTTGCGCGCGAGAGCGGAGTTGCCTTGTGCGCGCGTTTGGGCATGGGTGAGGCACGCGGGGAAGGGTTGGGCAGCAGCTCTGCATGCAGAGATGGTCGCTTGGGTTGGCTACTGGGCGGCTGCGCGCAAAGCCGCGCCGCTGCGGGTACGAGCTGCTCGAGCGCAGCGTTGAGCTGGGCTGCAGCGGCGGGGGTCGGGAGGCCAAGACATAGGCATTGTAGGCGCTCGGGTTCACCCAGCCCGGGCACCGAGCGAAGGAGGATGGAGAGGCAAGAAAGTGCAGCTGACGCATCCGCACCCCGTCTCCAAAATGCTAGGGAGCGGGGCCGCCGGGCGGGGCGCATGGTCCGCTTGATCTGCTTGCGGACTGCGCGGCAGTGCTCCCGTTGCAACAGGGCGCGGGCCAAGTCCGGTTGATGCATGGCTGGCCAGGTCGGCTGCAAGCGATGGGTAATGATGTTGCCCAGTGGAACGGTAAGAAAGGGCTCCACCTCGGCCAGATCCACGCTGGGTCCGTTTGTGAGGAACAGATAGAGCGCACTGGCCGAGAGAGAGAAGCGGCGCAGGTGCCACGACCCCGCCTCGCTGGAGCACTGCCCCGCCGCTCGTTGCATCAGCGCTTGCGCCTCTGCGGGGCTAGGCAGTGTCAGAGGCTGATGGCTGAAGGACTGGCCAAGATGAGTGTTGCTCTCCGAGTCAGTGTCAGACTCGTGTCCTTCATTGTCGCTGCTGCTTTCACTACTGCAGTCACTGCCAAGACTCGAGCCCTCTGCCTCCTCGTGTACGGTGCTGACGGTCCTGCCTCGAGACCGGGCAGCCTTGTTCGACATCTCCTTCTTCAAGCGATCTAGACCTGAGGTCAGGGCACCGGCCTGGATGTCAAAACTCGCAGACCGTTCAAAGCCGTGACTAGACGATGCGGAGAGAGAGGTTGTGGGGTCTGTGAGACCAAAGTCGATGACGTCGCCCTCCATGTGATGCACAGAGCGTCGATTCGCGGCAAACCCAGCCCGCAGCGACGGCCGAGGCGACGGCACCGCCATCAGCGAACCGAGCGAGGTGGTGGAAACCGCTGCTCCAGCCCG